TCAACCTTTTTCCATTATCACTGGAGAGACTTTTACATTGTACTATCCATTGTTTCTGTTTGGCTAAAAATGCTTCAAAACCATTATTTTTCTTTTCATGGTACTACAATTATTCTGGAACTTTTTTTTTTTATTCTCAAAGTTATTAGCTCACCAGTACAAAACGAGTGGACGAATAGTCCAGATACGAGGGGTAAAAATCAAATAAATAAATAAACGTTGTTCGTATTTCCTGTGGTGTACAAATTTATAGTGAGCTATGGTTAAAACATAAAAGGGTAAGGCTTGAGCTTGTAATGCACAAATTGCATTATAAGCTGAGGCCTTACCTTTTTACATCTACCTCACAGGTCATTAGAGAAATACGAACAATGTTCTCCACCAGTGTTGCTCTCTGATCATTCAAAGCTAACTTTCTTGAATGATGCTTGACTTTTGACTACAGTATTTTTTAACAAAGTTGCTGGCCATTTACCAACATGGAAATAGAATATCTTCACACAGTTCATAGGTTCTTAATCACTGCTTTTTCTTTGCAGAAATCTCAATCTCCAGAGCACAAATTATGTGTATTTAAAAAACATTGCAGGCATACTTTAAGACACAATCATTTATGCATATTAAGCATTTAATAAACAGCAGTCATGATAGGAAAGATATTAAGTTGCAGTTCCACCACCCTCAGCCCTTCTCTCTGTATAATGTCCTATAAGCTTGGAACCACCTCCCAGAGCAGTTGTGAGATGCCATCTCTTACCATTACAGAAGTCCACCTTTTCTGCGATATCTCAGGCACAATCTCTTCTCTCTGCTGCCTTACTAGAACTAAGCCTACACAGCTGATGGAATTACATTTTCTCACTCACTTCCATCTGACTCCACTTGCTTCCACTCCTGCTCTGGGAAGAATTTTAAATTGTAAGCTCCTTGAGGAGTGATATAAATACCATGAATTGCATTTCAGGGACTCCTATGCATGTTCATAATCTTAACTTAGCCACTCCAGTCCTATATTTATTCAGATGTACATCTCGTGGTTCCCACACTGTAGCCTTTGCTAGAAGCTTGTGTATTTATCGGATTTCTATCCCGCTCATCTAGAGCAAAGGTCTACTCTGGGCAGTTTACAAATCTAAAAACAAAACATGTACAGTATTATAGGTCCAAAGTGGCGAAATATAAGAAATGAAGATATGGCAGGAGGGAAAGCCTGCCCAAATAGTCAAGTTTTAAGTTTATTCTTGAAAACACCCAGAGAGGGAGCCAGGTGGCTCTCCACTGGCAAGTTGTTCCAGAGGTGAGGGGCCACTGTATTTGATACAGCCTTCCCTTAGCTGGCTAACAGAACACTTAAGGACAAAAGTAGGAGGTAGAAGCTATCTGTCACAGTAGAGTCTTTGGACAAGGGCGAAGGAAAGAGAGAACATACTTAGTCTCTTCCTCTTATGAAATGAGTAAGCATAGGGGAGCAAAGAGAGGCAGACACCTTTGACAAGTGGCTTCACCTTTCACGCTTTTGAAAAATGCAAGGTTTTCCAACATAAGCCAAGATCCTACAGGAGGGACTAGTTGAGCACAAAAAGACAGTGGTACCCCAGTTTGCTTTTAAACAATTCACAATATAAAAACACAGAATTTTTTTTAAAAAATGTGATAATGATGCATTACTTTTACTAATTTTGGGGGACAGAATTCATAAGGCTTTGCAGCACTTTTTCTGGTGGATATGTAACATTCAGAGAGGGAGGTACAGAGACAGAACAAGTTTTGGTAGATGTAGATTTTTATATTAATTTCTATTTGCCCAGCAGTGTGGTTTAGCCAATAGCTGCAGCAAGTAAAACACATTTCTGCCTACAAGACCAGCAAACTGCTGAAGAAATTATATATGTAATGTTCACCACAGCAGCATCAATTTTACCCTCCACTGCATGGTTACCTTGGCCATCCTAACATAGAATCTGTTCCCCAGAACAGTAGGTGTTGCAAATAGCTGCTGTTAAGGATATGGGCTCTCCTTATACTTTCTACAGTCTAGAAAGAGCTCAGATATAGAGGAAGGAAATGATAAGTTCTAGTTTACCACAGAAACTGTACATGGGAGACGTAAAGATGACAAATGCAGGGACTTGATTCTTTCTATAGTAGGCCACTGAACCAGTGCTGAATGACTGTAAGCAATTTTTACCCGAGCTCAATTCCATAGGAATCCTAGCTGTGCTGATGCGAAAACAGCAAGAGATACTGACAAGGGAAGAGTCCCCTCAGGGCTAAGACATTACTGCTGTGAATTTGGCTGCAGTATATTCTGAAGGATTTCACGACTTTGCAGAAGGGTTAACATATCATCATAGAAGGTGTTCACACTCAGGCATATAGGCTGGTGCTGCAGCTCTGTAACCCTGCAAACAGCCAAAGTACTCAGGGCGCCCAGCAGCAGGAGTAACAGCATCTTCAGCAAGACTCCGGACCAGGAGCGTTTGGGCTGGTTTGGACGCGATGGATGGGAAACAGAGGGCTCTGTAAAAATTAAAAACACAACAACAATGACATTACTGCAATTAATGGGATTAAACAGCAGACTAAATGCCAGTTCTCTTCAGTACAAAATAATGCCATGTTAAATATCCCTCCAATCAATCCCAAACAAAGATTGGCAAATTTAAGACGCCCACTGTTTGCAGGCACAAACAGCAGAAAATTTTTTACAGATCTCTTTTACTCCTAAATACTCAACGAGGCAATTCATAAAAATCAGATACGACCAGTTAAAAATAGCAGATGTTACTCCCAGCAACCTTCTGAACAAGTGATTCAAGAGTGCTAGATCTATTCGCAAAGGCTTTAACGGCTGGGATCTAATAGTTGTGGGTTTTTCGAGCTTTTCACAGAGTGCTGTCCTCTGAAGATGCCCATGGCCACAGAGACTGGCAAAACGTTAGGAAGAACAACCTTCAGAACACGGCCAAAGAGCCCGAAAAACCCACAACAACTATTAGTGCTAGATCTAGTTATTAAAAATGCTTTCATTAATTTAAGTAGTAGATGATCATCGATATAAAGAAGGATCAGGAGTCTGGCAACAAATACATCCAAGTTTAATTGGCGTGACAGCTCAGTTACATGGCCTGAGTCTCTGTCAAGTATATGAGCAGGTCTCTGTAAAGCTGAAGGCTGCTTTTTACACAATCAAGGTTTATTTTTTCCACTGAATATAGAAAATATCTTGGCACAAATTTGGACTTTTCAGTTCACTGTAGAGCCTTGTGGTGCAGTGGTTAAACTGCAGTATTGCAGTCACGTCTCTGCTGTTGACCTGAGTTTGATCTTGAAAGTCTCAGGTACAGTGGACCCTTGACTTACAGACAGCTTGACTTACAGACTTTTTGAGTTACAGACTTCTCTGGCCCCAAAATTTAGGTTTGACTTGCAGACTGAGATTTGACTTACAGACCAGAAAAAAACCAAAATGGAACAAAAACGGCCTGTTAAGGGATTAATCGGTTTTCAATGCACTGTAGGTCAATGGAGACTTGACCTACAGACTTTTTGACTTGAGAACCGCCTTCCAATACGGATTAAGTTCTCAAGTCAAGACCCAACTGTATTTGTCAACTTTAGAGTGTCTTTTTCCCCCTAAGGATGCAGAAGATGTAGTTCTTGTTTCAATTTCTCATGTACATGTACAGTATCTCTGGACACCCACCCATCCCACTTGTGGTGTGGTGGTTAAACTGCAGTATTGCAGTCATGTCTCTGCTCTTGACCTGAGTTTGATCTTGACAGTCTCAGGTATTTGTCAACTTTAGAATGTTTTTTCTTCCTAAGGATGCAGAAGATGTAGTTCTTATTTCAATTTCTCATGTACATGTACCTCTGGACACCCACCCATCCCATTTTTCCTCCCTTTGATTCTCACCAGTGTCTTTCCTTGGTTCTGTTGTCCTCTCTTGCTTGGCAGCTCTCAGGGCATCATATTCCCTTCTCCGGCGTTCTTTTTCTTCAGCTTTTTCCCGCTTACGCAGTTCCCTCTCTTGGGCTTCTCTTATTCGTCGTTCTGCTTCACGTTTCTTTTCTAGCTCTGCATATAGACACAAACTGTTCATACACACCTTTCACATTACTGTACCTAAAAGGTCATATCAATTGTTGGTTCAATTCCCAAGGAACAGAGTTTCTTCTTTTTCTTCAGCTTTTTCCCGCTTACGCAGTTCCCTTTCTTGGGCTTCTCTTATTCGTCGTTCTGCTTCACGTTTCTTCTCTAGCTCTGCATACAGACACAAACTGTTCATACACACATTTCACATTACTGTACCTAAAAGGTCATATCAATTGTTGGTTCAGTTCCCAAGGAACAGACTTGCAAAACAATTAGAATATCCTGTATTTTGCATCCAACATGACAATGGCTACTTACACAAGAGGCAAAATAATTATCAATGTTCTGCAACAAAGAAAATGATTTGGGTGTCTGCATTGAAGATGGTAGTTTCTCTACATTGACAATCACACACAAAATACCAAATGCCTTGCTTGGTTCAAGATCCCTTTTTTTTAATTATTATTTTTTAAATTTAATTTTTATTAAACAAACATCCAACCTAAACAACATAAACTTAATACCACAATAAAATACAATTACATAATACACCAGTGCCACCCTCACCCTCTAAATTAATTTAGTTATCATTTTTCCAATTTCTTGCAAATATTAACCTTGCTGCCGCAACCATTATTACAATTAAATCCTTATTTTCTGTCAACAATTTATCTTTCTTAACCATATTAAAGATCCCCTTTTAAAAGAAGAACAATGGAGCAGTTTCTTAAAAATGTGCACATTAGGTGTAATTAAAATCATTCATTCCAAATGATCAGCTCTGCCATCCCGGGCTCTTTTTAGTGTGATATGAGATGCACTTTACAAATAAAGAACATTATTTTTAAAAAGTTTCTGTCACAGAATGAATCTTGTTTTGAGGGTTTATAAAATGACAGATAACGAGCTACTTGACCAGGATTATCAGTACAGTCAACCCTTGACTTACGAATGGCCTGAGTTACGAACATTTTGACTTACGAACTGCTCTCATAGGAAAATATTGATTTACAAACTTAGATTTGAGTTACGAACTGAAAAAAACTATGCGGGAGGCGGGGAAAGTGCGAAATTTGAACTTTCAGTTAACCGTTGGCCAGTGAAGAGGGTGCCTGTCTGCTTTCTTGCTCTTCCCAGCGTTTAGAGAGTGGCAGATGGTCTTCAGACTGCCAGGACTGTATTTTTATTTTTTGGCTATTTTTGGGTTTGGGGATTTTTGCCATTCTTTTTTTGGATTGGGGATTCACTCACAGATTGGAGTGGATGAGTCTTCAGGGCACCCCATCACCCCGTCATCTGAATATGCCCTACATATACACTGATGTATATATGCCCAAAGTTATCCCCCACACAAGGAGATTCTGAGCTATTCAGGGATTCCTTCTCACATGAAGGAACCTACAGCGAGACAGCGGATTCCCCCAGACACGCAAAAAGAGGCTCTATGACCATGTATGAGTATGTGCATAGGGAACTTTCACAAAGACAAGTGTGCCAACATGGCTACATAGCATGAATAGGTGATCTCTTCATATGATCTTTTAGTGTGTAACAACATTCAAGTGAAACCCCTCCAGTGAGATTAGGAGGAAGACAAGTCTGAAGTTTAGACAGGAAGTGACATTAAAAGCATTAGTAAGATAAATGCCACATTAAAGAAACAGTGTAGCAAATTGCTACATAAGATTGGGAACCGAAAAGTATTTTCATTAGCTGCTTTAATCCCATCCTTGTTAATACTAAAAGTAGATTTTATTATAGTTTCACCTTAATATTTTTAAAAATGTAGTAAGCTATGTCTAAAAATTGCCCCTAACAACCACCAAGGGAAAAAGTGCCACAGAGTACTTTACCAAAATACTTGGTAAATTTGAAATGCAATCTCACACATGAAAGGTCACAAAAAGACTCCAACTAGTGTCATTAAATCATGTGAGAAGAGGTCGGTCTTATACGAGGTAAAACAGGGTCTTATACGAGGTAAAACAGACAGTAGCTGATTGATGACCTAGCAGATATTTGGCCAGATACACGTAAGAAAGCTGTTCTTAAAAATGAAATATCAAATGTGTCCAAATTACAAATGACATCAGCAGTAGTCCTGTGTGGGGCAAAGCTAGGTTTACTCCAGTCACACATAAACAGGAGGGTACAATTTTTTTGATCAAAAGAGGTACATGACTGAGGAGTGCTCAGCCCTGCCACACAGTCTTTTTCATCCAAGAACAATATTGGGATGAATCTATGAAATAATAAGGACTGGGTAAGGAGAAAGCATCTATTCCACAATAATCCATTCTGCAAATGAGCCTTTATTTCTGGAATCTCCATGCTCATGCTACAAGGCAAACAATTGCTTTTGAAGTTTATTTTGTTGGCCTCAAAAGTAAGACTCTTCCCAGCATATGACTGGGGTTGACCTAGGTTTAAATAAACAGCTGCTGTCACATGTACTGTGGGTGAAAGTGTAGAGACAGAATGACCCTGAAAATAATCTAATCCACTCCGGAAGTCATGGCCTCTATGCTCAAACAGAAGGGAAGATAATGAGCCATTCAAATATACAGAAGTTGGAAAGCTGGAAAACCACATCACCTCAAAGGCAAAGACATGTCCAGAAAAAGATTCCTTTTGTACGGCGTCCCATGCAATGTGGTTAAACCATTTATACAAAGGGGAAGTTAACATTGATTCACATGCTGATTTTTGAAGCAAAGAGTTAACACAAGATAAACCCCACTGCCCCCATGGTCTCATGCTAACATCTTGTGAAACATTTCCATGGTGAAATCTTAGAATTCTTAGGACAGGGAAGCAATGCAGAGGATTGTGATTGCTTACACAACAGCATTCAAAAGAAATAAAGTGGAACGGGCTGAAAGAGCCTAGAGCTTTCACTGGTGATCTTAGAGTGCTTAAAGTAGGAAGGGGCGCCGTCCCAGTTTTTTATTGGTATGTGTACAAACCAGCTACAGTTTCAAGAGTAATTAAAAATAATTACACTAGAAAATGTAGCTGGCCTAAGTTCAAATGTTGAATCCATTATCAGCTAACAATGCTCAGAAATAACAATCTGGCACTTTACATTAACACCTTGCCTACTAATGTTACAGGTCTTAAATACTGCTGATATATGCAATATTCATGCTCTGACAAAATGACAAGACATTTTGATGACTGTTTCCTTGAATGGGCTCCTAACTATTTTCTCTTTCACAATCTGCCGTGTAACAACCTTTAGCCCCTCTTATCTATTTATTGTGAAGCCAACAATAAATCTACAAACTGAGTGGATAAAGAGGGATCTAAGCAGCATGCATCAGAAAGTGAGTCTGGTTTGCCACGCCTACCTCGTTCTGCTTGCAGCTTTCGCTGCCTTTCACGATCCAGCTCGGACTGTATGGCCCTCATGTGCTGCAGTACCTTTGAGATGCAAGACAATTGCAGGAGATTAAGTTTCCAACCAACAGAAGAAGCAGAAAGAAATCATATGATATATTTTTTAAGAGGCATTCAAGACATATTAGTGAAAGGTACCGTATTTTTCTGGTGATACGACCCCCCCAATGTATAAGACGACCCCCTACTTTTGATCCTTGCTGGAGGCGGAGGAGCAGTTAATGAGCAATAAATCCTGCTGCTGCCACCTCCGCTACCCGATCACTTCCGGGGGTCACCTCCAGCTCACGTCATCGCCACGTCCCCTGCCCGAAGGGAACACTGGAAGAAGCAATGCAGCAGCAGCAGTCAATGGGCAGGAGTCAGAGGCACCCGAGTGCTCCTTTGCCTCTGCCACCGGAGGGGAGAAGGCAGTGATGTGAGCTCTGGAGGTGAGCCCAGGAGGTCGCACTGGAAGAGGCAATGGGCAGCGGCAGCAGCAAGAGATGCTCCAGCACGCGCGAGTGCTCCTTTGCCTCTGCCTCCTTCAGGGTATAAAACAATCCTCAATTTTCCCCAGAATTATTTCATCAAAAAGTGTTGTTTTATACACAGAAAAATATGGTACTGATTACAGTACAGTTATCTGGAAGTTGAGCCATGGCAACTGGACTTCTTTCTTGTTAAGTTGAAATGTTTCACATCACTACTCATCCAAGTAGCTTCTTAGAGTTGGTAGGAGACCCCTGATATATCCCCTGTTGGTTTCGCTCCCCCCTGGTCTGAATGGGCTCTTGGATGGACAATAGAGGGGGGTGTTGAGTGAAAATCCCACCTCTGACCACTGTTAACATCCCAAGGGAGATCAGGACCCCACCCACCAGAAAGACTACTGTTAACAACTGTTAATGACCCATGGCAATGGGTGGTGGAGGACTGCAGAGGTGGGATTTTCACTCATCCCCCCCCCCAGGTCCATTGCCCACTGCCTACCGCCTCTATATGAAGCAACACTTTCCTTGCAGAGTATAATGTACCACAAGCAAAGGACAAGAACATAGAAAGGGATCCTTTATAGCAATTCCAGATGAGTGAAGCAGATGAGAAAAGATGAATGTCACCAAGGAAGCACTAAGTAAATTAACCCCCGAGACTTCAGACAGTTCATCCACAGTAAGAAATAATTTTCCAATGATATATAATGAAACCATTAGCAACATGTTGCTCCCTTCATGACCTTTCTAAAACACTTCTAGAACTTTCTTCATATTTGCTCCTGAAAGTAACAAAAAGTCTTTTTAAAGACAATTGAATTACATGTCTAATGCCAACTTACACGTTATCTGCCTAACCCAAAAGACCCAACTGAGTACAGGAACCAATGGTCCAATGTATGGTCATCAAAGTCCTACCTGTTGAAGCAGTACACGTTCCTAATGCCTCTTATACTGTCCACTACAACATCATTTTGTATTTCTAGACTAAATGGCAAACAACCACACAGCTGGACCAAAACAATCCAATGGTGGTAAGATTTAAAGCAAAAAGACAATTTCTATGTGGTTTTTAATGTAGATTGTATTCCTACCTTCTGAATACAATTCACCATATTTTTCCATGTACAAGATGATATTTTTGTCTAAAATATTTAGATTTAAAATTGAGGGTTGTCTTATACACGGACGTAAGAGAGGGGGAAGAGATCAAAGCGCTTTAATTCCTGCTTTCCCAATCTACTTTCTTGAGAAGCACTTTGATCATTCCTACTTCCCCCCTCCATTTTCTTGAGAAGAAAGTGCATTCTTGGCAAGAAAGTGGAGAAGGAAAGCAGGGATCAAAGCGCTTTGATCCCTGCTTCCCCCCTCCACTTGCTCAGCAGTCTTAGCAAGAAAAGGGGAAAGCAGGGATCAAAGTGATCCTGCAGTGCTTTGATCCCTGCTTTCCCCCTCCACTTGCTAAACCCCACTTAGATTTCTTAATTTTGGGTTAGAAAAGGGGGGGGTCTTATACATGAGGGCATGTTATACATGGAAAAATACAGTATGTTGAATCTCAGAATAGACCAAAAAAAAAGGAACCGAGATCAATTAAAAATACAGCGGCATCAAACAGTCTGCACAACCAAAAGGAAGGTAACAAAGTGAGAATGAATTGCAAAGTAAAGATCTTACCCTTAGGGCAGCCTGTTTACATTGCTTTTCATCCAAGCAATCTCCAGCTACCTTAGCCAGTGTAGGGTCTAGGGGATTATCCTTCAAGTCCAGCCACTTCAGGTTCTAAAGGAAGGAAATACAAAACAAAATTGTATGTTGTCAGTTGCTAGGGTTTTCAATGATGTACTTTTTGGAAGCATTCCATTTGCTATTAGTACTACCCAGGAGCCCCAGATTGTGTGCACAAAGTATTAGAATGTTGAGCACAGATAAACTGGGGATCCCTTATTTCTGGAGCTTCCTAGATGATGCTGATTTTGCAAGACAAAGACCTGATTTTTGCAGGCATTTTTAAAAAATGTTGGTAAGCATACACTTATCTTGACAATTGCTAAGGAAATGACACTTAAAAGGAGCAAAAGGGAGTGAAATAAACTAGGATGCGAAACATATTGTGCAAGCAGTCCGACAAAGTGCCAACAGTAAAATCAAGAATGTGGTTGCTTTGAGAGTCAGTTATAAATGACAAACAGACACTTAAGTGATGAACTTATGACCTACTTGATTCATTATAAAGATTTATTCTGAACCTGTACTGCTCTGGCCTGTACCCTTGATCCTTTGGGGATGGAGCTGCAGTCAAGAAGAGGAACTGGTGAAAACTCTCCCGAGTTGTGTTGCTTCAGAAAAGTAAGGGTACAAAATCCTCTCTCTAACTGTAGGAGATTCCTTGCTTACTCAAGATTACACACATCACTTCTTAGCAGTATCTTCTACTGACAAAGCAGGAGAGAGCAAGAATACCCTTATAATAAAGTCATTTTCCTCCTAAAGAATCATACAGCCATTTATTTACACATAGAGATATCATTTTGCCCAGAGTTTAAACAGAACTACTGAGGTTTCTCCAGAGCCAGTAGCACAGGTGTCAGCAAAGATCCAAATGAATCATTTCCTACCTGCCACCAGAAATAAAGGTCTGTTAGAAAAATAAAAAATTGAAAACTATATCCTGGATTGAAATACAAAATCTTACTTAAAGCATGGATTGAAGAGGGATTCAAAGGATTACCTTGAGTTGTGCAAAACTGACTGGCAAGGTAACCAATCGATTATTCAGCAGGTCTAAGTGCTGTAAGTTGACCAGGCGACCAAAATTTGAAGGTAATTGGTGGAGCTGATTTTCACTTAGGTCTAATTTCACCAGGTGTGTCAAACTGCAGAAGTCTGACTGAAACCCAAACAGAAGCAAAAAAAAAGAAAAAAAAAGAAAAATTCAAACATCCTCTTAACCAGCCTTTGAGCCATTGACTGCAATCCTATAGATGCCTACATAGAGATTAAATCCAACATTCAGCAAAATGTTTTTTTCTATATAAATGTGAATAAGACTGTGCTGTTGCAAATGGAGCAGTGACAGATAAGGTAACATTTTCACAGACCCATGCAGCCTAGTTGCTCTCTGAAAGTACTTGAAAAGGGGGGAGGGGGGAATGCCTCCTCTCACCCTAATATAACAACTGAAAAAACAGAAACTCAAAACTTTTTTTTTGAGAAAACCCCTATAATTACAATAAATTCATTAGTCCAAACACTTCCAAAGAGGATCTAAATGCCAGTTTTGTCTTTAACCATTATTTTCCCCATCTCAGCTACTTAATATCATACTTTCCAACAACCACTACTAGTTACATTTTATTAACTTTCAGATGAAAGGATCAGCATTTGTTTCTGTCTGTCACTGTGAGTTACTGAATAATAAATACTAGACTTTTAATGGCAGCGACACTGTTATCTGCTCCAAGTCGAGGAAATCACTTAAGAGATTTCTATATGAAACATTTTTAAAATAGGGACAACTGCAACTTACTGGTAATGTAGTAAGATTGTTACAGGACAAATCCAAAATAGTTGCCTTTGGAAGTCCTGCCTGAAAAAAAGGCCAAAGAACAAAATTAACAATGAAATCTTATAGTGAAAACTGACGTGCTAGACTTCAGCAGCATGTCTTAAGACTTTTACTCCATATATGGAATTCTACATTCACTACATTTAAAATCTGCTAACAAATATATTACTGAGATGTTTTGTTACTGAATAGCCATTTCCATTTTGATATTTATTCTACAATTTAGCTCCAAAATTTCTCCACTCTTGCTCTCTTTCCTGTCATCTGTAGTGCACACTGCAGCATAGTGTGGTACAGCATCAGAACTTGATGACTGATTTTTATATAGATTATATACAGACAGGAGACATATAGAAGGGGCAACAGCAGGTAGAATCATAACAGCAGGACATGTCAACATTTAGGCTGAGATTCCTTCTCGTATAGTTCTGTTAAAATTACTTTATACGTCTCAAGAACAAGCTTGGAAAGTTAATTTTGGCAACGCAGGGCTCTCAAATTTAGGCAAGATATTGTAAAACTGTACTTTTCTTTAAACAATATGGCCCTACAAGTTCAATGCTTTCTTGAAAAGTAAATTTTAATCTTTGGGAAAAAGAAAAATTAATCCATTTTCCAAAATATTTCAGAAACTGTACACAGGCCAGTACATTCGTACAAATAAAACATCTTTACAAGTTCTTTGCAATGTTCTGTAGCCAATTAGGAAAAAAAATACCAACCAGCTCTTTCGTTGGCACCTCAGTGAGGTCACACAAGCTCAAGTCCAGCTCATTGCCTTCCAATTTGTCCTTTAGATTCACTCCTTTCCCACCAGATTTTGCCATAATCTTCAAGAAAGCAGTCTCACAACCAATTTGATGAATATGTCTGAATTCCTAAGGAGACAGAAAGATCACGATTGCACATTTGCAAAGAAGCACACAAAGTCTATTAAACTAACGGTCTGCTTCTTATTGCTTAGGGTCACTGAACAAAGATCGGTGGTCTTGCAAAGAAGCAGCCGTGTCAGTCTCCTGTTGGCAACGTTAACAGGGAGGACAAAACACTCAATTTTCTGTAATATGCAAAGAGATCTGAACTACAGTATTCTATTCTTATTCTCACATTAAGAGTAGAAAACATTGAACCACAAGTTCCTGGACTATCCACCGTAGCTGAACATTTTGCTGGCAGCATTGTTCCATGAGGGGAATATTTAGTGACTGTGGCCTTGGGCAGTTGCTAAGACTGCTACAGTTTATGCTGCCGGTAGAAGCAGGGAAGAGTTGCCACCAGCTGTCTCCCAGGAAAGGGACTTGGGCTTGATTGTTCAGGCTGCAAAGGCATCTGCTTCAACTATGTACAAGAAAGCCTGGACACCAAAGGCCTCCTTATTAACCTGTTATGTGACACAAAGAGACACGCTGTGTATTACAGATCATCGTTCACAATTTGTATGTTTCCAGTATTTTTCTCTGTATAATACACTCCCACATATAAGATGCTACCCTTTTCTAACCCAGAATTTCTTTCTTCACGAGAAAATGGAGGGGGATGGCAGGGATCAAAGCACTTTGATTCCTGCTTTTCCCCTCCACTTTCCTAGCAAGAAAGTGCTTTCCCCCTTCACTTTCTTCACAAAAAGTGGAGGGGGAAAGCACGAATCAAAGCACTTTGATCCCTCCTCCCTCCTTATTTCCGTATATAAGATGACCCTCATTTTTTAATCTAAATATTTTAGGGAAAAGTATCATCTTGTACACAGAAAAATACAGTAAGTCAAACACAAGCCCCTGGATGGTGAACATTGACATGGATGTCAAACACACATTATTTAAAACTGTGTAGTATAACATCCACCACCTTCATGAGTACAAAGCACCACTGTACCCCAATACAAGAATTCCTTCAGTGAGGGTAAGGCCACCCAGTCACAGGCCAGCAGGTGGTTTTTTCCATTCATCACAACAGAAACTCCAAGCACAAGGCCTTTATTTCACAATACAAATGAATAGGGGGGGTGGGGGACAATAGAGGTGTGCAACTGAGGGCACCCAGAGCATGACAGGTTTACGTTACTTCAGCTGATCCCAATAACTTCAACCAAGTAGATTCAACTCTGTAAGGTTCTGCCTGCACAGCCCTGCCTTGAATCATCTTCCTGGCTTATACTGTGTTTCCCTGAAAATATGACAGGGTCTTATATTAATTTTTCATCCAAAAAACACATTAGGCTTATTTTCAGGGGATTTTTTTTTCATGTACAACAATCTATATTTATTCAAATACAGTCATGCCATCTTCTTCTGGTTGCTGCACAAGGGTAGGGGGCGGGCTTTCACTTAACTGGGGCTTATTTTTGGAGGCAGGGCTTATATTACGAGCACCCCGAAAAATCATACTAGGGCTTATTTTCAGGTTAGGTCTTATTCTTGGGAAAACAGGGTAGGCATGTTGGAAGGATAGAAAAGAACAGTGAGATATCTGGTGCTTAGAGAGAAATACTGTCTTCTATAGAGCAGGGGTGGGGATCCTGCGGCCCACGAGAACTTCCCAGACAGGAGCCTAGAGGTTCCCCTCCTTCTACAATATAACAGTGTCAGCCCTCCTGCCCCTTCTCCATGGAATCGCACAACTTTTGGCAATAACAATGACAACTTTGAGAGAGGGCTTCCCCTGGGAGTAGTGCAGGACCTGCTATAAGAGAAATCTGCACCCCATCAACCTCCAGCTGTGAGGACGTTAGAGAGAAGGCAGCGACTGCTATAAGAGAAATCTGCACCCCATCAATCTCCAGCTGTCAAGACGTTAGAGAGGAGGCAGCGAAAACTAAAGCTGGGGGTGAGGGTGGGAAAGGAGGCAAAATATTGTGGCGGTGTAGAGGCGGAGAGAGGTATTTCAGGGTGAGCTTCTGTGCCGCCCAAATCAAAGAGGTCTGAAGCTCCCCCTGAAATAAATCGGTTCCTCTTGAAAGAGGCACACACTCCCTCTCTCCTCCCGCCCCCAACTTTCCTCCCTTTTAACGTTGCCAGCAGGAGACGGGACAGGGCTGCTCCTTTTGCAAGACCCGCATGCGGCGAGGGAACAGAGCCAGCCCGAGGGAACCCTCTCCCCACATGCCCCAATCTTCCCTGGATCTGTTACCCCGGAACAAACAGATGAGCCGTGGTATCTCGGGAAGGGTGGGAGCTGGGGATCCAGGAGCTCGGAGCCCCTCTTCCCTACCCGTCCCCGCCGGCAGCGCAGCGCTTCTCTCTCCTTCAGATCTCAACCTCGTTTCCCTCCGCAAGCCGGGCGACAGAGCGGGTCCAGCCACTCGCCCTCGCCGGCTGCAGGGGTTGCGACCCCCCTTTTGCCACCGCCGCCAGCCTTGCCCGCCCCTGCAAGGTGTCTAGCCAGCCAGGAGAGTGGGCGTGAGCCCCGCCACCGTCAACAGCTCTGGGAGGGATCGAGGGAGGAAAGGGCGCCCAAGGGAGCCTTTCCTCCAAAGGTCGGCGCTAGTGGTAGCCCTTTTTCAGTGTTTCGCCACTCACCTCGCCCCCTGCCCCCTTCAAGCAGAAGCACCGCCGCCTCGCGCCTACCAGTGCCAGCCACTTCCGCACCTGCCTCCGCTCGAGCCTCTTCAGAGAGGAACCACAGAGACAGAGGCCGAGCGCTGGAAAGAGCGCCTCGTGGAAGGGGGGGGGACGCTCTGCACCACCCTCTAGCGACCTGATGGTGCAGCCGCGTGACTCGGAGGACTGTGGGAAGATCAGAAAGATTATCTACCTGACTGGGCCAAAAATTGCTCCCTGGGATGATGCTTTTGTGGTTCGCTTTCCTTCATTGCTTGGTAGAAAGGACTCCTGTTCTGGGATCTTCTGGATGGAAGGCTTCTGAAAGTTTGATTATAGGTGAATAGCCATATTAGTTAGTGCTAGCATTTTTTCAGTGTTTCGCCACTCACCTCGCCCCCTGCCCCCTTCAAGCAGAAGCACCGCCGCCTCGCGCCTACCAGTGCCAGCCACTTCCGCACCTGCCTCCGCTCGAGCCTGTTCAGAGAGGAACCACAGAGACAGAGGCCGAGCGCTGGAAAGAGCGCCTCGTGGAAGGGGGGGGGACGCTCTGCACCACCCTCTAGCGACCTGATGGTGCAGCCGCGTGACTCGGAGGACTGGTTTGGGAGGACTACAGTTACAGTACGGTATGTATAACTTACTAGAAGGCGATAGTCCAGTGGTGGGGGCGGCTGCGTTACTGCGGCACAAAATTTTGATCGAAATGCCTTATCCTGACCTCCCACCGCTACGACGACAGCTTGACTAAAAT